ACAATTCCATTTTTCAATTTCTAAAACACTTTTCAAAACCTATCAAATTTTATCTCAAATCTTCCCCCTTTTTTTTTAACATCTTTATTTATCAAGTCTCCAATTCTTTTCAACTTTCAACATAGCTTCTATATGCTTACTCCATATGAATGATAGTTCATTCCTCAAGTATTTTAGGTAATCAATTATTTATACTGAATTCAACAAAATAATTATCATAGAAGCATCATCACACATAAAATCAATCTCAAAAAGGAATATCAAACAGTTGTACACTAAGTATGAAATAATTATAAATTTTTTCAAATAATTTATACATACATAGCAAGTAATAAAACACTCTATCTCTCAACGTTTTTTTAGTATACCATTGAAAATAGATATATCCCCCCTTACCTTGAAGTGTATACCGATTTTTTCTCACCAACGTCTTCTTTCCACTACTTCTCAAATCACGATCCTAACCAAATAATCACACATAATCATGATCAAAGTTAAGAGGCATTAATCATCCAACCCTCTCCTAGTGAGTTGAAACTATCATTTTCTAATTTTCACAAAAATGGCTTACGGGTCTTACAATTGTTTTCTATAATGCAAATAGAATATTATAAGCCTAAAGGTGATTAAAAATAATTATTTTTCCCTCATAACACTCTTGGGACAGCACCTCTAGACTAAGGATTTTGAACCCCCAAATGCATTTTTAACAAAACAAAAAGCACCAAAATTATTTATTATAAAACATAGAAGGATTAAGCTAACTAAAACATAATTTAGAAACAAAAATTTTGGACAAAATTTCACCCTCATGCCACTGTTCCAGCACCCAAAAAGAGGGAAAATAATAAAAATTTAATCGATTCAAAGTGTTCAAAATGATAAAAATAGGTGGAATAGTAAAAAAAATTTATGAACTTACTTGAAAAATCAAAAGATTAGAGCCAAAGAAGTTTCAAAGCTTTTGGAAGGAGAAGAAGAACACTCTACAGCAGCCAAGAGAGAAGAAAATGAATTGGATGAATTATCTTATTTTAAATAGTGAAAATAATAATATAATATTAGAATTTTCACTAATTTTTTGTAATTAATTGAAATAATTAGATAAAAATTCAAAAATTTAAAAATTATCATGAAATATATTAAACATAATTATAAAATAATTTTTGACACTATTAATTCTTTAGTTGGTGTCTAAAATTTTTACACGCAATTTCTGCTTGAACATATAACTAATTTACTTAAAATTAACCAGAAAATCCAAAAATGCTCAATAATTACAAAAAAAATTATTTTTATATTCCAAATAATATTTATAACTAAAATATAAATTTTTTATAATTTTTATTATTATTATTATTAAAATAAAATGTTATTTTTCACTTTATACAACAATTTTAATCAATACAAATGGACACTTTTTAAAAATTAAAAGTTTTAAAATTAAAAATTATCAAAAATTTCTTAAAAATATACCTAATAATTTTATCTAAAGCATCTCATGTTAATTCTATCCTAATTTTCTCCAAAAAATCAAGAACTATACTTTAACTTAGAACTATATTAATAAATTAATTGTTTAGCAAAAATGAGGATGTTACATCTCTTCCCCCTCAAAGAAATTTCATCCCCGGAATTTACGTACCTTAAGAAAAAAGGTAGGGGTGAGAATCTCTCATTTTGCTCTCTAGCTCCCACATAGCAGCTTCATCATTGGTTTCACTCCATACCACTTTTACAAGCAAAATGTCTTTTCCCCGTAGATGTTTTACTCGTTGATCCACAATACGTACGGACGATATTTCATAAGTAAGATTGTCCTTCAGTGGTATCGTATCAGGTTCAAGGACATGGGATGGATCAGAGATATATTTTCTCAGTTGTGAGACATGAAAAACGTTATGGAGATTAGAAAGAAACAGGAGTAAGGCAACTTGGTAAGCCACAAGGCCAATCTTTTTCAGAATTTGATAGGGACCAATAAATTTAGATGTGAGGTTTTGAGATTTCATAGCTCTTTCAACTCCTGTGGTAGGTGTAACTTTTAGAAACACATGGTCGCCTTCTTGAAATTCTAATGGCTTCCTTCTTGTATCATAATAATTTTTCTGCCTACTTTGTGTTGTTCTCATTTTCTCTTGGATCATTTTAACTTTCTTCGTAGACAGTTGAACCACCTCAAGTCCCAAAGTAAAATTCTCCCCTGTTTCATACCAACATAGAGGTGTCCTGCACTTCCGACCATATAACACTTCAAATGGTGTCATCCTGATACTTGAGTGAAAACGGTCGTTGTAAGTAAATTCAATCAAATGTAAGAATTGATCCCAGATACTTTTATACTCCATTACACAAGCTCTGAGAAGGTCGTTAAGTGATTGAATAGTTCTTTCTGATTGTCCATCAGTCTGGGGATGATATGTTAAACTAAATCTGAGCTTTGTTCTCAATGCCTTTTGTAACTTTTCCCAAAACCTTGAAGTAAATCTAGGGTCTCTATCTGATACTACGCTTGATGGTACACCATGTAGTCTTACTATTTCTTTGATATATAATTGGGCCAACTTTTCTAATGAATAACCAACATTAATGGGTAGAAAATGGGCAGACTTAGTCAATTTGTCAATAATTACCCATATCGCATTATGACTTGCAGATGTCCTCGGCAATCCACTCACGAAATCTATTACAATATTGTCCTATTTCCATTCGGGAATATTCAAAAGTTGCAACATCCCAGAGGGTCTCTGATGTTCAACCTTTGCCTTTTGACACACCAAGCAAGATGCCACATATTCTGCTATGGCTTTCTTCATTCCAGGCCACCAAAATAATTCCTTCAAATCTTGGTACATCTTAGTGGTACCTGGGTGAATACTTAATTTACTTTTATGGGCTTCTTCCAAAATCATCTTCTGAAGCTCTTGATTTTGTGGAATACAGATTCTTCTTCAGAATCTCAAAATTCCATCAGTACCTTCCTGAAAATCTTTTTCTTTGCCTTGAATCATTATTGCTTTCTTCTCTTGTATGATTGCATCTTCTTGCTGAGTTATGCGAATATGTTCTAAAAATTTACTGGTGACCTTCAATATTCCAAATTTAAGACTCTTTGAAGTAAGTTCCATGGCCATATTTAGATCTCTAATCTGCTCCACCAATTCCAATTCCTGAATCATCATAGTTGACACTTGTAAAGATTTTCTGTTTAATGCGTCCGCTACAACATTCGCTTTTCCAGGATGGTATTGAAGTTCAAAGTCATAATCTTTTAAGAATTCAATCCATCGATGCTGCCTGATATTCAATTCCTTCTTATCAAATAGATACTTCAGACTCTTATGGTTACTAAAAACCTCAAAGTTAGCACCATACAAATAATGTCTCCAAATCTTCAATGCAAAAAGTACAACAACAAGCTCCAGATCATGCGTAGGATAATTCACCTCATGTGGTCTCAATTGCCTTGAAGCATAAGCTACTACATTCCTATTATGCATCAACACACATCCTAATCCTTGCCTTGACGCATCACAATAAACTTCAAAATTCTCATAAGGCTTTCGAAGTATTAATACAGGAGCAGAAGTCAATCTATTCTTCAATTCTTGGAAATTATCTTCGCACTGACTAGTCCACATTAACGGTTGTCCTTTGCGAGTCAACGTAGTTAAAGGCAATGTTAACTTTGAAAATCCTTCAATAAATCTCTGATTATAACCTGCCAATCCTAAGAATCTCCGGATCTTAATAATTGTTTTTGGTCTAGCCCATTGTAAAACAATTTCAACCGTAGAAGGATCTACAGAAATTCCATCTTTACTGATTACATGCCCCAAATAACTCACTTCTGTTAACCAGAATTTACACTTAGAAAGTTTGGCATATAATTGTTTCTTTCTTAGGATTTCTAATACCACACGAAGATGGTCCGCATGTTCCTCATGATTCTTGGAATATATTAGAATATCATCAATAAAAACAACTATAAACTTATCCAAATACGGATGAAAAATTTGATTCATGTAACCCATAAACACTGTAGGTGCATTAGTTACACCAAATAGCATCACTAGGTATTCATAATGCCCATATCGTGTTCTAAAAGCAGTTTTTGGAATATCATCTTTTTTCACTCTGATCTGATGGTAACCAGATTTCAAATCAATTTTAAAGAAAACTGTTGCTCCTTGTAATTGATCCATCAAATCATCTATTATTGGTAGTGGATACTTATTCTTAATAGTCACTTTATTCAATTGACGATAGTCCACACATAACCTCATCATTCCATCTTTCTTCTTAACTAATAACACTAGAGCACCCCAAGGGGATACACTTGGACGCACAAATTGTTTGTCCAATAACTCTTCCAGTTTCTTTTTCAATTCAGCTAGTTCCAAAGGCGACATTCGATAAGGTGCTATAGAGATTGGTCCAGTTCCAAGGGTTAAATCTATAGTAAACTCTACTTCCCTTTCTGGAGGTAACCTAGGAATATCCTTCAGAAAAACTTCTAGAAAATCACAAACAATCGGCAAGTTCTCTATTGTAAATTTCTTCTTCCCTTTTAATGAAAGTAACACCATACACATCTGAGCTCCTCCTTTCAAAGAAGCATTGACTTGGTTGGCAGATAGAAATCTCAAATTCTCATAAGATTATTTAACAGGATTAGCAAAGACTATGGTTTTGTTATGGCAGTCTAATAAAACACGATTGGCAGACAACCAATCTAATCCTAGAATGACTTCTAAGTCAGTAAGGGGTAAACAAAACAAGTTTACAAAGAGGTCTTTGTTTTCTACTATTATGGAACAATTCAAACAAACCCTAGTAATAATAATAGAATTACTACCAGGAGTAGAAACAATCAAATCATATGGCAAAACAGTAATAGGTAAATTCAACTGTCTCACACAAACTTCAGAAATAAAAGAATGAGAAGCTCCTGAATCATACAATAGATTCAAGATGTTCTCATTTATGAAACATTTACCCTATATCATAGTGTCAGACTGAGATGTCTCCTCCCCACTCATCGTAAAAACTCTCCCTTGAGTCCTCGGCCTTCCAACTTGATGGTTGTTCTTATTTTTGCTACCACCAGCTTGATTGTTCTGATTGTTGTTCTCTCGTTTCATCTCAGGGCAATCACAAATGAAATGACTTGGCTTTCCACATCTAAAGCAAACATAGTTCTTCTGTGAACACTCTCGAGCAAAATGCGGTCCTCCACAAATAAAGCACCGAGTACCACTATCACCAACTCTATTGGAACTTCTAGTAAAGTTTTGAAACCTTTCATCCCCTGAAGAAGATCCTTGATACCTCTGTGATACTTGATAGGGTTTCCCTCTCCTTTGAGCATCTCCTCTTCTATTAGGATGGTTCCGCTGTGGACCAGAACTCTTCCACTGCGCCTGTTTTGCTTTCGCATCATCCTCATAAATCCGACATCTATTCACCAGAGTAGGAAAATGAATAATTTCTTGATAGCCAATTGCAAGCTTAATGTCTAGACGTAACCCGCTCTCAAACTTAGTGCATCTAGAACGATCATCTCCATTATTGTTAAAGTAAGGGCAGAACTTCGACAGATCATCAAACTTTGCAGCATACTCTTCTATAATCATACTTCCTTGCTTCAAGTTCAAAAATTCAACCTCTTTCCTCCTTAAATCTTCTAGAAAGTATTTCTCTAGGAAACGACGTTTAAAACATTCCCAATTAATCTCCCTGCCTTCAGCTTCTATTTGCTAACGAGCATATCTCCACCAGTGTTCTGCCTCACTAAATAACATATATGTTGCAAAAGTAACCTTGCTTGCCTCAGGGCATTCCATAACGGCAAAAATCTTTTCAAGCTCCTCAATCCACAGTTGAGCACCATTTGGATCAAAACCTCCTTTGAACTGCGAGGGGTTATTCTTACGAAAGGCCTCCAATCCATGATACCCAACTGGTTCAACCTACCTTTCTAGAACTCTAACTATTCATTCTAATAATTGGTTCAAGATAGCGTTACCTCTTCCTCGTCCAGCCATAAATTTCTGTACACACATATAATCAATTAATATCTTATATGTGAAGTAAAACTGAACAAACTAGGAATTACTCCACACCCTAAATCTCATATCACCACTTTCTTTCAAAAATAGTAACACAAGAGCACACAGACAAGCATAACAAGCCTTTCCCCAGGCCTATAGGAACAAACTGCTCCGATACCATTAAATGTGACACCCTTACTACTTATTACGCCATCAATATAAATATAATATTAAAATAATCTAAGAAGTAAGAAAGTCACATTTATAAGTTTACGTCTATTCACATAAATAGAAACTAAATACATTATCTGCACCAGTTATCCAAATACATATATACATATTATCTGTCAAAATATATAGTCATCCAGTCATATAAACATATACACATAACTGAATTGCATACAAAATAAAGTGGGGTCACGATATCAGAGATAACAACCAAAAAATGACCTTACAGGCTTTTCCCCTAGAACCATGATCATCAAAAATACCATTTCCTCTAAAAGTTAACGATTAAGGATTTCGACCCACTCTTCTCTCAGTCACTAGTAATTATACCTACATATATGTATATGCTATTCTTTACTCATCCCTAGCCTACTCTCATTTCTCACTAGGTTCCTACTCAGAGGAGGCAAGACTAGGAGGAAGTCTGGCATGGTAAGCAGTCCTCTTCCTTCTAGTAGCAGTAGGGGTGTTTGAGCAGTGAGAGAAATCCAGAGAGTCAAAAGAACTAGAGGAAGTCGAAATGGAAGTGGATGAGATAGAGATGTGTTTGGGTAGAGGTATGTTCGCTACATTGGGTCATACTACAAGCTGTACATAAGGTCCTAAAGATCTAAGAAATTTCGAGGGTAATATTAGGGGCGATAATACATGGACAGAAGGTGGGACATGGGGTCTCATAAACTGTACTCCAGGAGGAAATGGAAAAGTAAGTCTCATAGGTACCCTGATGGGGATAGGGTATGCCCGTGGGCCTGGCCCATTTCTATCTAACAAAAAGGTAATAGTGCTAATATGGGTAAACTGTTGTTGCTCCCAATCGTGCGCCCATCTTCCTTCAGGATCATATCTGACTTTGACGCTGAACTGGTACGGTGGTCGGGCCATTTGTGTCCTCACCTACTAAACATATTCACATACAATACACATAGCAACTAAAAGGGTGAGACAAACTCATTTCAACCAAAGTATAGTAGAAAACAAGTCAAGATATTTACAATCATTATAGCAAGTGGCAAACAACTCAACACACAATGTACTTGCCATGTATGATTCTGTGCATCACTTAGTTAGTTACTATACTGAAATATGCATGTGGGCCCAAATCATTTTTTTTCTTTTTCTCTTTCTTTCTGGGAAGGATCAGGAGTTCACTGCCACCAACCATTTTTGGTCATAACCATATCATCAGATAGTTTCAAAGGTATAACTCAATTGATTCTGAGAATCCATCGGGTTCTGTCAGGATAGTCCAGTTTTGCAGTGAGAACCGACACAAAGTTGCGAGCCCTGGCCTTTGTTTGGCTCAATCATACCCCGACTATCCCCAAGACTAACCTGGAGTCTCCCCTGTATTTCGTATACTTCCCATCCAACACCACCATCATCACATGCTTATGATGCATGAACCTAATTTCAGTCTTTTAATTAGGTATTAAACATTTCTTTTCAATCAACAACAACATATGTTTAAAAATTCTACTGACAAATCGGCAGAGTTTCCTCTATAATTCAAATATCTCCAAATTTTCTTCTCTCTGCAAAACAGCTAGAAAATTTCAATACACTTCTAATTTTAAGCAGAGACTCATCACCACCACATTTCATAACTTTTCAGCTATTTCAATGGCTCTCAAATTTATTTTTTCAATTATCACCACATTTTAAAATACTCATTTAAAATAATACTTTAAAATGAAATCAAGAGAATCGAAGAGAGTTTGAAGAGAGGAATAAGAAATGAATTTTCTAAATCCTAAACCCCTCAAATACCCTCCTGGTTGCGACACTCTTGCTACAGTGAGACACCTTCTCGCTACAGTGAAAATCTCAAACGATTTTGCACTCTGGTTTCGGCAAAATCTCGCTACAACGAAACTCTCACTACAGTGAGACTGCACTCAGAAAATACCCTCTCTCTGTTGCTCTCTCGATGTAGTGAAAGAACTCTCGTTACAGCGAGAACGCAACAGATACACCACCTTCGCCCAAGACACTCTCACAAGAGTGAAAATCCTCTTACTATAGCGAGAATGCCTCTGCAGCACACACCTAGCCTATTTTCAATTCAATTCCAATCATACTTAACAATTTCAACTTTAACCACAAATCAACATATACACTTATACTCATATTTACATGTTCATACACGTCTACGTCATCACATACACATTCACTTCATCTGATATATAAATCAAACACAAAAACACATGAAAATCCACGTATACACTTATATTAATATATTAAAATATTATTACAAAATCTAGGGCTTTTAAATTTTGTTAGTTTTGTTTTTAAAATACGCTTAATTATTGATTAAAGAAAAAATTATTTTTTTTATAAAATTTTATTAAAGTTATAAAAGTGTAAATAAATAATTTTTTTTAATAATTTTATAATAATTAGTTGTTTAAATTCACTCTTAAGAGTTAAAATTAATATTAAAATATTTATAATTTTTATTGTACATCAATTTTTATATCAATTTCAAAAGAATAAGTAAAATATTATCGTTAAAATATTTAAAACTTTTATTGTATATCAAAATTTTATAAAATATTTTAAAATTATTTTTTATTTATAAAAAAATATTTGTTATTTTTGAAATATGAATTACATTATATATAAGTTTTCTTGAAAATATAAGTTTATAGTCTCTTAAAATTTTGTGAATTTTTTCATTTAGTACTTTGTTTTTTAAAATAAATATTTTTTTTATTATTTGGTGGAATACACGTTTAGTTTTTATAATTAGCAATTCTTTACAAATTAGTTTCTATAATTAACGAATATTTTTTAATGTTTTGGTCTTTCTCATCCAATGTTATCAATATGTTTTCAATAACTAAATTATAACTTTTTTTTAATTTATATAAGAATCAAATTAAAAAAATATAATAAGTATAGAAACTAAATTTATAATTTAATTTTAGTTTTATTATTTAAATTATTAAAAGCTAATATTACATGTGATATTATATTATTTATATTATATATATATATATTAAAAGTTCATCTTAAATATAAAAGAAAGTACCGACATATATCCCTTCCAATAATTAAAACATTTAACCGTGTTGTTTTCTTAGTTGACTTGATGTGATTTAAATTATTTTATTAGTTTATTTGATACTAAGCTCATTCCCGACCTATTAATAAAAGAAATTCCTTTCCTTAAATAGCTTTTGTTTGTTTGAACGAGACTAGGACAACTTTTCATAATTAATGGTTAATATTTAAATATGTCATGTCACGAGTACTGTTTAATTCGAATAATATAAAAGAAGTGTGCTATGATAAATATTTTAGAAAACCTTGCTAAATATTAACTTCTAGTAGTTAAAGACTGAAATCTGTTAATTCAAATAAAAGATAGTAATTTGCTAACCATATAATTTTATGTTGAATTTAAAAATTTATGTATATTGGAAAAACGTTATAGAAAATAATCTTAAATATTCTTGAAAAATTACATTCACATATTAATTAAATAATACTCTATAACTAAGGGGTATAAATGTAAATACACTCAGAAAAAAGAAAAATGATACTAGTGTGTCATCAATTTATTAAAGAATAGAAATTGTAAATCATCAGCATGCATCAAAAGAATTGAAGGCTTTTTTAGTAGGGATGATAAAAATGCTTTAAAATTGAAAATGGGGAGGAACAATACTCTGGTGTTTATGGTCATTTGCGTTGATTGATGTTGGGTAACCGTAAAGGAAAAAAAGCTGAAAAAGTAATACTATATCTTCTTACTGTGTATTCCTTTTTATCCTCTTAGTATTATATACAATAATTATTAAATAAACTTACAAATACATTTAATGTATCAAAAACATAAAAGATATTCAAAATTTTCTTCTTTCAGTAAAGATGTTATTGGAGGATATAGAATTATTGGCAGCTAAAATCACACGTGATAGAATTACTATTTATGTAACGATACTAACATTTTCATATTGAACGGGTCACATAGTCCAAAAATCAATTTCAACAGCACCTATAGGTGGATTAACTAAGCAATCTTAGCTTGCAACATTTGTTTTCTCTTCACTTATGCTGTCACAAGACAACTGAAGATACTGTACACCAATCAATTCATCCTAATACAATTTTTCATAGTGTCTAAGCATCTTGCGTGGACAAATGAACTGTGTGGTAGCCAAAGAATCCACATCAGTGGACTATAACTAAGAAACGTAAAACTGTGGTACAATTTTTCACCTAACAAAGCAATTATCAGCAATGCAACTAGTTGTGCTCACACTAATCATACAACATAGCGTATTACTATGGAGCAGCATTCCTTCCAGCCACTCATATAGCATGGAAAAGCTGGAAAACTAGCTGCTTTAGAAACTCTCGATATGTGTATTCAAATGCATAGCCAAAAGGGATGAATGACTTGGATAAGGAGCCATAGTACCCCTGCTGTCATGTGCTTCCTGGAGCATCACCTCCTGCAGCTGGTTTGCGATTCAAATATCGAATAACGGCATCCTCAACCCTGCCCAAGTTGTCAAACAAGATGTCAAATTCCACACTGAATGGTAACTGATGTGTATTTATATAATAACTATGAACACTGTTCAAATCTACTTTCAGCTGGCACATGAACTAAAATAAAATAAAATGACAGCCCTACTTATATCATATCATCATACATCACCCTCAATGGCAATATATGGAAGGGAACAACTAATCACTAAATTATAAAGCTGGATTCTAAATTATTGTTCTCATGAGGTCAATCATAACCAAATTCAACAGATTGTAATGGATCCATTTGCAACTAAAGAAAGTAGCATGCAGCGGAGACAAGCAAAACATAAAATATAAATAAAATGAAACAAAACAGTAGAGGACAAGCAAACTAAGCAGGTGATACATGTCTGAGCTTACCATGGTTGATTGAAAAAATCTGATCGACGCTCTTTTTCTGCACTGCGACTAGGTTCTCCAGCTACAAGTTTCAGATCTCTGCTTTGAGATTCAATCAGTGCATTAATAAATTCTACTGGTGATTGACTGAAACCAAGAAAGAATGCCCGTCTCCTACGGTGTTCATGGATTTTTCTAATGATTCCACATATTGCTTCATCACATGTCTCAATCTCTTTGTTCTTTTCAACATTAGCCAATAATGCAGACAACTCCCTCTGAATAGGAAACGGAACATCAACCATCACATCATAACAAGCAGTCCCAGCTGGACTATTTCCTGAGAGTTTGATCTTATGCTCCAAAAGTATAGGTTGTGGAGGGAACAAATGCGTTGATATTTTCTGTGAAACCATGGTAAACTTCATCTTTTCTTCCCCAAATACCTTCTGAAGAGGCTGATCACAGTGAAAGAAAGAAGGGTCATTTGGGTTTTGCAATTTCCTAGCCTTCACATAGTGCCAGATTGCCGCAATGATTCTTGGGCGGGTATCAACCTCAATACCAAGAACTTCAGTCAATGCTGGTGAAAGCTTATACTTCTCAGGCACATAATTCATTTCCAGCCGTATATTCACTGTAAATTCTTTATCCCCTTTCCTCTTTACTTCAAAACCTTCATGAGGGGCAGGTGATCGAGCATTCTCCCACATAATAATGTGATTATCAGGATATAGTCTCTGGTCCAAAGAAATGGTTACTCTTTTGAAGAAGGCTGAAAACTTAGGATATAAAGGAGATGACTTCTGAACTACTCCTGGCTGATCAGGGTCAACACCATCTTCCAATATCCTCCCAACAATCTTCAGTGTCCAGGTTGGAGGCTCAGCATTTGGCTTCTTAGGAATTGTGCGAATTTGGTTAGCAAAAGTGTTAAATACATATATGCGAAGAGTTTTTTGAATACTAGGTGGATTTTTCAGCGCTTCCTGGATGTCAATCTTCTTTCTAGCAAGTGCTGAATCGACACGAGACTCAAACTCAAGAAGCTGGGTATACAGAGCAGACTCAGGCAGTATAGCAGCCACTTTATCTTGTAACTGTTTCTCGGGGAGCTTCTGCTTCTTCCTCCGTGCGGCAGGTGTAAGATCCATTGGTCTCAAAGGCGAGAAGTGGTTGGCAGGGGAAAATCCAACAGGACGAATTGGGGGTTTCAGAGGGATCCGCTTCCCACTCACATTGCCAGGCGTCGAACCCGACGACGACACCCCCAAACCCCCGACCTGATTCTGACCAAGACTCAACCCTTGAGCCTGCAAATGAGCCTGGAGTTGAGCATGGGCTGCAGCTGCTGCTTGGGCATGAGCCTGGGCCTGGGCCTGGGCCTTAGACTGTGCTTGGACAATAGCATGGGCTTGGGACAGTGGAAACTGCCCTTGAAAACCAACAGGAATCTGGGGTTGAGATTGGGACTGTGAAAATCCAGGGTTGGCAGTGGAGGGTATTCCAGCATTGCCAAAGGAAGAGGAAGAGGCTCCAATGCCCTTAGAAGGGTTATTATTGTTCACAGACATCACTATCAAAATCTAATTCACTAGTCAACCAAAAGGGGGCAAAATAAAACAAAAACAAAACCTTCAATACCCAATTGAAAAAAGATCTTAACTTTAACTATTGATCTTAACCAGTGAACCAAGTGGGAGCATACCCAACAAATTCAAGTGCCCAAATTCATAACTTGCATGAGTCACCAACTCCCAATTTGCATTGCCTCTAAAAATAATTAAAGTAAAAATAGAAAACCACCAAATCTGATTGTGAATCGAGTAGCGTTTACCTCGATCTGGCCTTAGCAGGATCCACTGAAATTCGGGTGGGTGAGAGAATACACGATTGTCTTCAGGTGCATAGAATTTCGGTGGTAGAGAGAGAAAGGGAGAGAGAGAGAGACCTTAAATTGAAGAGAAAAAGTGGCGAATTGAAGAAAGGGGAGAGTGGTGAGAGAGATTGGTGTCCGGAAGGTGGACGATGATGGCGGTGATGCGTGGTTAGGGTTAGGAAAATGGCCCAATTTTGGGAGGTCAAAGTTTAGTCATTGTATTCGTTCCCTTTCTTATGCTTTCCTCCAAACGGTGTCGTTCCCGTTATCATCTTCGCTCGTATCTTCTTTTTCTTTTCCTCTAATGACCAAGATTTTTTATTTTTCGTTAAATTAACAGCTTGTTTGATTTATGTTCAGAACGGAAGTTAGACGACTTTCTAGATTGAAAAAAAATTGTTCCAATACAATTCTTTTAAAAAATCAAGTATTGGCATGATAGTTTTTCATAAAAAGTACACGTAATTTAGAAGAAAAAAAACCTTAAAGCCTCGATAGACATTTTTAATTTTAAAAAAATGCAATAGCTATTTTTAAATGTTTAATAATGAGTAAAATGAAAGAAAACCAAAAAAAAAATATTTATTATTTAGATACTTTACAATAAAGTAAAAATGAGAATTTCACTTTATATCAATTTAAAAGAGAAGAAAAATAAAAGGTAAATGAATAAAATATAATGTACTAAACTTTCTTCTATTTTGTCAATAAGCTTGTAAAAAATAAAGGGTAAAAGATAATTTCGCATAAATCATGGATTATCTTTAACCAAAATAAAGAAAAGAAAAAGATCAGTTAGTCAATGTGCTTATAAAATAGTTTAGATATACTCAATAAATGGTTAATTTAAATGCCATATGCTTAATTCATCTTAAATAAAAAGTATTGAATGCAAACTCTATGAGGAAAAAAAATCTATTCAAAGAGTTTTATCATATATAATAACTGAAACAAAATATTGCTTTATCATAATCTTTATGCAAAACTTGCAATTTTATATGGACTTCAGTTAGCATGAAACTGTAGTTACAGAAAGTATGTGAATCAGACTTCAGCAGAGCTATCAAAGACTTTATTTATTTTTAAAAAAGGTGTTTTGAGAATAATTTTATGATCAAGTTTTTGGACTATTTTCTTCAGAGTACATAAATGGTAAGATCATAATTTACAAAGGTGTATTGGTTTGAGTAGAAGGATATATGGAATGTCTTAAACAGGTGCATCAGAATTCTATCTTGAAATATATGTGTATAAGGAAATATCATTTAAATAAATTTCTGCCTTTGGTACCAAATGCATTCAAAGATAAGTGTTTCATCAACTAAGTGACAGATAACCTAAGAAACTGAAAAATATATTTGCTTCTTCAATAGGAAAATTGTCAGTGTCACCTTACTTTCACAGCACAAGGTGAAGTCATGGAATCTTTACAACTTAGTCTCCCTTTTTTTCTACAAAAAGTGAAAAATGAGAAAATCATTTTAGCTATGAATGTACCGAGCATTTGCGTATCATTGATATAGAATATTTTCTTGCACAAAAACTCTTTTTTAACCATTCCACACTCGTCATGTATCACAAATTATTAACTAATTTAACTGGTTAATCACTTAAAGTTAATAGTGAATTCATGGTCATTATTTTATAAATTTAATGTTATCTGTCAAAGTTACATTAAATTTGAATACGAGTGGTTCCTTAAAAAAGAATAGATGTTATTCTTAGCATTTTTTTTTTATCAATCATTAAACTTATTAAACTAACAATTTATATATATGTAACTACTCAATCACCATCCCTATTTACAAATACCTTTTAAATTAATGGGTAAGCACACGCAAACTGTTGATTAAATATATACCATTATTGTTTTATGAAAGGTGATGTAGACTTGAGTACTAATACTTTTTCATAATTTAAATAGACAAATTGATGTCTTAGTAAGCAATTATTCTTTTGTAAACATATTCCTCTTCACAAACTCCACATAGTATTAGTACAGGTCAATTAGCAACATCTGAGGTGGTAACCTAACTTTCCACTAGAAGAGGAGAACCAGGTTCAAATCTTCTTCCTTTAGCTATCAGATGCTAGCTCCCTAAATACAAAAAAAAAATGGAGGGCCTTCTTATGGTTTGTAATTTTGACATAAATCACTATATCAGGAAAACTGAGACAGAGGAAACAAATGAGAGACAATTTAAATTTTGAACTATGAAGTTTATTTTCTGGTTCTCTTCACCATCAATAGATTGCATTTGGAATTTTAACTCAATGAAGAAACAAGATACGTAAACAAGCTTCCTAACTAACCTATGCTATTCTAGTAGTTTCATGAAGTGACACCCTCATGTGGCTTACATGAAACAAATATTAAACAACAGAAGCTTGAAATTAAAAAGATCACTCCATTTTAACCGGTAAACTTTTCTTATTCCTTTTCTTTTTAGTCAAGCTAATCTGCTTATTACTCAAAATTCTTACATCAAGGTTCAGGCTAACATAACAGCACAATTGTGAATAAAGGGATTAAGGTGGGTGCTGCCACATACAATTTGCTTCCAATTCAGTTTCTCAGAACATGGATCAGGGCAGCAAGTGTATATAGTCATCATGGCACGGGGTGAATAGGAGACAGTGGTAGCCCCTATAACAAGCAACTCATTACCCAAGGATTTGAATGCCACACCCCAACCTCCTAGTGCATCAGCTCTCACCGGAACTGGTCCTAACTTCTTCCATGAGTTGCTTCCCTTCATATAAACTTTTAGCTCATTTGAGAAAGCATCGATGGTATAGAGCTTATTGTTGGCAACAGCAATAAGAGGTGGTGATCTTGGAGTTGAAACAGGAATATCTTTCAACATGTGAGGAATTAAGTTCCAACTATTAGTCTCTTCATCAAAGAACTCCCCACAAGTGAGGTCTTTTTGTTGCTCATCTTGTCCTCCAACAACATAGAACTTGTTGTCCAAGTAACAACCTGAGCAAAACTTCCTCTTTTGTATCATCCTTGGGAGGGGCTCCCAACACTGGCTTTCAGAATTGTATTTCTCAGCTGAATTCAAAACTTCCCAAGTTGTTGTCTCAAGTCCACCTGCAACAAAAGCCATTGTACCGCAAGAGGCTGATGCAAAAAGGCACCTTGGACTGAGCATGGAAGGACCCTTGAACCATTCATTTGTTGCTAACTCATACCTCCAAACAACAGTACCTTCAACCTCCTTACCTGAAACAAACAAATGGGTTCCTGCAGAAAATGACTCTTTATCCCCCCACTCAAAATTGTAATCTGATGGAATAATAGGGAGCTTCTTCCAGGACCTGAAATGACAATCAAATGCACACCAATTTTTCTCTCCACTTGCTAACATAAACACACTTGGTTCTTTTAACCCTATCATTCTTCTTATTCTATAGATTTCACCACTCTTCAGTAGGGTAAAAAACCGCTTGCTTAGACAACACATCTTCCAGTGTTTTGATATTGGAAATCGTGCCAATATCATGGTCTCTAGCTCATCACTGAGACATGGAACATCATAATCTGCATCCTGAGGCTCTTCACTTGAGGAGGAACCATTGCCATTAGAAGGTGACACTTGCAGAATTCTCATCTTTTCAACCGAGGAACTATGAGAAACCCTGCAAGTGCCACCACAAAAGTTCCACACAGGCAATGTTTTTCTACTAGACATACCAACTCATTTCGAGGAAAATACTCTTTTTCCTTCTTTCTGTTTCTTCTGCTCTGAATGTTGACCAGCCAACCCTTTGCACCTTATTGCATGCTAACTATCTGTAACTGTAGACAGAAAATCCAGGTGAATTATCAGCAACAACAGTTAAGAACAAGAAGCACAATGCAAATAATAGCCAATGAACAAACACAATACATGTAGCCCAAGTACATATTTATGGTGGCACCCACATACAAGTGACAGTTAATAGTCTTACCCAAACTAAAAAGAAAAAGAAAAAGTCATTTTCATTGCTTGAACAGTGCTGTCTCACACAACACATGTTGAAAACAGAGTCTTCTTGGTTTTAAAAAAAAAAAGTAACAAATGACTAAATCCATGTGAAGATACTAATTATTAAGCAAACACTTGTACAGAAATTTTAAAAAAACACATACATAAATTTCAGCAATGAGAACTAATAACTATAGAAGAAGTTAGAATCAAATAAATCTATTTGTCAATGGAAATTCATGGCTATTGAGATTAGAGATACTATCTTCATAAAGATGCTTGCTTACCTTGATCGCATCATGGGGTTGTTCAGTGTTGAAAGGTTAACACATAAAAAAGTGATATATTCTAAGTTTGTGCATATTTATTCAGATGTGCATAAGCAGAAAGAAAGGGTGCAAAAGGGAAGAGACAAAGCACAAAAAAGAAAGCCAACATGTAGTTATAAAGAAGAGAATAAAAAAGCACCCTCATAGGAGAGGAAGAGCCAAATCAAATGGAATTAGGGGAAGCGTTACAGAATCATTTGTTAAGAACAAAGAGAAAGAGAGACGTTGAAGATTGTTTAGGCCTCTTTGCAGCTAATGCATGAGGAAAGTGTGAAGTTGAATGAGTTGCTGTGAGAAGGATATGAGGAAGAGAGTGACGAAGGGGATGTGACAGAAGTGACTTCAAGTGATGAAGGAAGCCATTAAGGAAGAAGAAGAAGAAGAGAGAGAGAGAGAGAGTCTCTACATGAAGACACCCTCCATTTGCTGTGAAAATATATGCTTAAGTTGGTACATGATATGCGTTCGGAGATTAAAATATCCTCTAGAGAATCAATATTTTAATTTACGTGTCATCATCAACCTTACTGTTATCATTGTCCCTAACGTTATTGAAGATTATTTTAACATTAGTAAATAATATATTTATTAAAACTATAGTATTAATAATTCTTTGTTTAAAAATAAAGTATTTATTATATATTTCTATTTTGAATGTTATAAATATTTTAAAAAATTACATTAAATGATTAAACTTAAATTTAAAAATTAAGACTAATAAAATTGTTGATACTATTTTTAGACTTTGTGATATTATATAATTTTCAATTAAGATATTACATATATATATTTGTTTTATATCTGTAAAGATACATTAAAAAGTTGTTTTATTAACTTAAGTTTTATATTATAGAGATTTTAAAATTATTCTAAAATCAAAATTTAAATTTTAGCACAATAGCTTACATAATAAAAACTAGACTTAGATTCTTTTATATTATTGAATAATATAATGTTATCGTGTCATAAAGGTTATAAGAGAATCTAAATGAATAAAATTAACGTGTATTAATAAGGTAAAAAACTTTTAATAAAATAATAATATGATAAGTGCTTACATAATGTACCTAATTTTTAAAAGGAAAGAAAAGGGGAAAGAGCATTTGAGTTGAGTGGGAGAGAGAGAGAGGGGGACAGTGCTGACTTCGCAGTTCACACAGTGGCTGAGCTTCCAATGATTCTTCAACACTCCAATCTCCAAACCTAGAAAAAGGAAAAAAATAAAATAAAAAAAAAATATATATATATATATATATATATAATTGAATTTAAAAACAAAAAATAAACAGAAAAGGAAGAAGGTTGGAGTGGGGCTTTCTGTCTACTTTTATTTTTGGGTAATTAATAGTTTCTTTTCTGGTTTTTCAGTAACTGTTGGTTTGCAGCTCTCTGGCATGGAACAGCAAAACCACCCACCTTCAAAACGTGTTCATTCCATGCTTTTTTCACACAACTAAGAAAATAGTATGTGTACACTTGAGAGAGTTTAACAGTTTAAATTTTTTAATATTTTAAAAATTAAAAAATAATTTTTTAATTAAACTATTAATTTTACTATTTATTAGTATAAAATTATCGATAATTATTATTATTATATGAAGCATCAAGCACTCTTAATTATAAAAATATTATAAATTTTATCTAAAGAAAAAAAATACGATTTTGATTATATTCATTTTTTTAATTTTACAATATATTCGTAAAAAGTTTATATATTATAGATTTTTATTTAAATTTATATAATTTAATATTAGTAAGTGCACTCATAATATTAAATGTCATAGTTTTTAATATAAATTTATTATATATAATTAAAAAATTATTACATTTATTTTCATTCATGTACAATTAAAAATAGATTTTAAATATAAAAATTATGTTTAACTATTTAATCATAACAGGATATAAAATATTTTTGAAAAATAACAATATTACCTTATGAGAAATAGCTCTACTGAAAAGATGATTATCTTGAGAGTCATTTATATTTATTCCTTTATATTTTAATAACGTTTTATTTATTTTTAATATTATTTTAATTACTCTTAATTTTTACATAAGGTAAATATAATTTGTGTGATAAAAAATGTATGAGTGGTTATATTATTATATAAATAAAAACTATATAAGACAAAAAATATATAAAATTTTAAGAAATGTAAATGTAATTTATTACAATTTTTAATAGAACGTTTCAAATTATGTTAAAATAGTATTAAATGCACACTTATAACAACATTATCCACAATAATTTTTGTGTGAGGAGCTCAACATGCTACCAAATATGCATTAAATTATGTATACTTATTTGTTTAATTTAAAATGCATTCTAATATAAATTTTAAAATAAATATACACTTATTTTCTTATTTTAAAACACCTTATTTTTTTTTGTTAAAAAAACACCTTATATTTATGTGTGTGAGGTTAGCTATCTAAATTTCATTTATATGCATTTCATGCATGCAGTATAATAAATACTTTTTATAATAAATTTTTACTATTATTTATTATTTATTACTGATCCTTTTTTTTTACGGAATCTTAAAAAAATTACACCAAAAAATGCAAAAAAAAAAATGTGTCTTTCATTGATAGCATGGAAAAAAAATTAAAAGAAAAAAAAAACATTGAGTATACATTAATGGGAACTTTTTACTTTTACTAATTATGGATTAAAGTAAAACATCGAATATTTTCTCTCATGATTGTAATTTTATTTTTATTTAAAATTAAAATAAAATGTTATAAACCTTTTAAAGGGAGTAAATAAAACGACAAATGAAATTCACTTATAACTAGGCCAAAATTTTGAATTTCCTAAAATCATTTTAAGTATAAAAAGTCAAGTTTTACATTTTTCTGTTATTTAATTTACAGTTTTACTAATATCAATTTTTAGGAATTAACTTTAAATATTTAAAATAATAAATTCAACTAAGAAATTTATATTTTTATATTTTAATATAACAAAGAATACAATTTTGTTTGCCTAAAAAACCATAATTACCTTTAATTTTTTATAAAAAAAACTAAATTTATTTTCTTCAATTATATAAATAAATGGACTGTATTAATTTTTGTAAAGTTAGAAAAAATCATGTCCTAATTATCCAAAATAGTTTAACAATCAAACTCATAAGAATTATATTATTTATTCACTTTTAATCTATGAATGTTAAATTTGTTCTTTAACAATTATTGAATAGTTTTATAATATAATAGTTAGGTGATAGCTAGAGGGATTAATAATATATAATCGAAATGACCCATAACTCAGGCATTAGGCCACTGGAAAGGACATTAATTATGCTTGCTGACGAATTTCGCCACCTGAATTTCCACATTATAGACCGCCCTACTCTCACTTTTGTGCCCTTTTCTTATTCAAAACTACCATCTTTCCCATTAATTCATTAATTAACCTTTATAATTCCACCACATCGTATATAATCTCTAAGTAATAGGAAAATCAAATTTGAAGGCAATAATTAAAACTATATATATATATATATAATATTTTTACATTAATGTAAATTTAAATCTTTTATTTAATTTATATTTAATTAATTATAATTTTTATATATAAAATTGGTACCATTAAAATGAGAATCAATAACTTAAATGGCCCAGCTTCTTAAAGGCACGAGTCATTTATACGAAGCGTCACTTTTTATGACACACATCAGATAAAGCACGTCAAGTCATTTCAACTTAATATTCATTTGATTTTTAAATTTAATATTTTCTTTAGACAAGTTTTTCGATTAACTAAATGAATATTCTTATTATTTCAATCAATACACAGAGACAGAATTTTTTTATGGAAAATGTTATTTTATGAAATATATTATACAGATTGAGAATAAACAATTAAAAATTATATTTTAATAATTTTTTATTTATAAATCTTGATAGTAGACTAAATTTATGCTGAAAAACGGTAAGGGATGTTATTTTTTTAACCCAAAATAGAAAGGCATTGGGAACATATACACGATAGTTTCGGAAATATATTAATAAGTTGTTGGATAAATAAAATATTTTTTATTTCTTCTTTTCGGCGGGGGCTTTGAAGTTCTGTAAAATAGCAAGGATTTTTTTTGTCATTCTATTTTAAGATGTAAAATGATAAAAAAAATTGAAGGAAAAAAAAAACAATGAAACCAAAAATTAAAAGACAGAGAAGATAAGAAGTAAATAAAAAAATAATTTAAAAATAAAATGTTATTTGTAAAATATTTACATATTTGTTCTACATAATTAGCATTTTTTTTCCTGATAAATTAACATATGTTCAAGTAACGTTTCATTAAATATAGGAACATTAACTGATTATATTCACATCAATCTTTGAAGTTAATTTTAAATAGTTATAAATGAAAAATCTTGTTA